AGTGCAACGCGTTTGATTAGGGTGGTTTTGAGACGATCGTACAGGTTCGGTTCTTGGTCGTCTATCACGCCTGAGACATCTTCAATCACATTCTCCTGGAAGCTGACAATATCTGAGTTGGACTTAGTTTATTGTAAGTGTATATGTCTCAAGGCAAACTGAGCTTCCGCGTGGGAGAACCATGTGGATGGTCTGTGAGCCCAGAAGGTGGGAAGCTGAAGGGTAATGGCCATCTGCCCAGTCGAGTCGTTGTCAGCTATTGATAAGGGTTTAACGAGTCACGATACTGATAATAAAAGAATTACAGTGTGAAAGTAACCAACGAGGAATGTAATAAAGGACGAAAAACCGTGCCGAAAACAAAAATAGGACAAATAAATCGACGCAGGATAAGAAAAAAGTACCCGGCAAAGTAAGAAGTGTTACTCAGGCTCACCAATTGTAGGGGTGTGTTACTATTTCGTAACGTTTGATCAGCTCTACCTAACTTGATGTACTCTAGTACCTGCTTAACCAGTGCCTTACCTAACGCGTAAGTACTGATAACGAAACACAAATCAAGAGGACCGGTTCGGGAATACATTTGAAGAAGTAACGTGTTTAACTAGAATTAGTAGTAATAAATGGGGGAAAAGTTTGTTCAACTTATCTGGCTAGTAAGGCTGAGCTGGGGACTCTGAGTATGCGTGTGCTAACCAGCATTAAGGGAGCGCAAAATGGCGTCCAGGCCTGCTCGGACGTATGCTCGTTAAAACAAAACACCCAAAGCATCCGGGGGTGAGCTAAAGGTTTATTTGGTTAATTTAACTTAATCTACCTATTTTAGCCTTAGTTGTATTTTGGTACCATGACGGTGCACTATATGGCTCTCAATTATGTCCCATAGGTACTGTAGTGCTCAAATTATGCGTCTGAGCTCCTTCTAAAATCATCACTGGATGGTGCTCCAGTGACTCCTGGAGGCAAGGAGTCCCACAGTTCACGGACTTTAACGGCAAATGAGTCGGCACGGATCTTTATACGTGCTCTAATCTTAACGGTTGACCCCTCAGGTCGCGTTCAATAGTCCTACAGAGTTAACACAATTCTGTCACAGTTATCATGTCAAATCGTGTCTTCATATTGCTGAAACATAATCTTTACTGTGCGTGACTCAGGGGAACTATGCTGTAAAATGCAGTGACCTGTCTGGATCGCCTTAGAGTTAAGACCGAAATACTTGGATTTTGGTCGTTACAAATGCCTCATCAGAAGTTCTGCTCTTGAATTGCGTTAACGGTGACTTTGTTTAAGGCAGTAACTTTTGATACATGGTGGAGTTCTCAGTGTGCCATTTCTACAATTTTACTCTTTGCACGATATTTTGAAATTTAATCATCATGAAAGTTAAATATCTTCAGTGGTAACAGTATGATAGGCAAAATGCACTCTTAAAGATCAATTCGACAAAAGGGGATGGGGTGGCATGAACTACAAAGTAACTTGTGATAATTGTGAGCACATGTATGGAGACGACTAGGCGGGTCAGTATCACGACGCCTGCGAAAAAAACAGGCTGGTTGTCATGCTATTATATGAAGTCTTTCACGTTAATACAGTGTGATAATCGCATTTCTGAGCGGGTTGAATCCGAAGGACTTGAAAATGAAAACTGGTCAGAGATTTTTTAGAGGTCTTCACGCAGTCAAATAAGCAATAAACTGCCACTTCAGCCCATACTCAGTTCACGAGACTAATCAAACCAACTCAGTGACAGGAATCAACCGATCTAAATGTGGGGAAACTTTGACGAGACCAGGGAGTAAATCACCAGTAAATCAGATCAAGAAAATTAACGTGTAGCTGACCAAGCTCCAACTCTTAGTCAATCAATAGGAAACAAAACCTCTCCAGTAGAAATCAGCAGTGGCAACGAACACTCATTCAGTTGGAGCAAATGAACCAGCCAATCCGAGTTACCTTTTAGATGAAGTAATTAAAATGATAATAATAACATATACTTCATACAACATAAGTAGACTAACCAATCAGCACAGTGCTTACCCTCTCTGGTACCGAAGGGTCAAATGCTCAGAGCAATGCATCCTGCATCATTTCATCCAAACAAGAAATGCCAACTGGCCACGGTGAATTGACTTCGACATACTGCATTTAGAAAACGAAGTCAAAGTGGACGTGGTAGCACCTCTTCTGAGACATTTGGAGGAACAACGTCGATCAAACATTTTCACTTCACAGCCACACAACCGAATTAGTGTGTTGGATCTAAGCAAGGTAGCACTTGATATCTACACACAACCTATCAATTCCTGATGAAGATCTCATGAAAACGTCTAGCCAGACATTAAAATATTTGGCAAAAACTCCAGGTCGTCGAAGAACTCATTCTGAAGAGGTAGCTTTATAAGCGTTTTCAAGCTATGGCTTCAGCAACCACAAGCTCCTTATAGACACATCCAGTTGAGATAGGTTAAGTGACAAACACTATTATAGTCTTTGTAATTATTTGTAGGACTCCAAAACAGGGTTCTTCTTCAGCTTCCTCAACTGATAGAAGAGATTGCAAACGTATTGATGAAACCTAAGTTATGTGATAAAAACGAACTACAGTTCGCGTCTACTACTATCACTCGATTCTCAGTCGGGCGTCATGTATTCATGATAAAATATTTTTGTTATCATAACATCTACTTCCGGCTTTGGCCCTGATCCAACCTCACTATAATTCTATTCCACTACATATATAAGATCAGTTTCCCTGCTTATCGTTGGTGATGATTGCCTCACTTGAAGGCCATGCCCTCTCTAGAAAGACATATACAGGTTAATTTTGATCGGAATCGTAAATCAAACAAGCAAATACCTTGTAAAAGGTTTAGCTTCATAGAAAGTTAAATATTTCCTTTGAATTATAAAGTCGTACAGGAGCTAGAAATGCATTATCATCCTACTACTATAGTCATACCTAATTCGATGATAAAACAACTTTAAAACCTGAAGCGAATTTACCCAAGATTTTCCTGGTTGATACTGACTCTTACTCTGTAAGTCTGCAATCACCATGTACTATGTTCAAAATATGTTATACAGGATAAATATGTTGAGTGCAAGGAGAAACTAAGGTGACTGTAAAATAGATCTTTTGTTTAGGCACTCCGAAACTCAGAGCACTACACTGAATAACTTAACACTGCTTTCGAAGAAACACACATGTTGATAAATAACGCCAATTTTTTAGGTTAGAACGATGCCCTGGACCGTGTACGCTTTATACGCTGTAGCCGTGTCAACTTCACAAACAATACCAGCAGGCCTTCGTCTATTCCAAGTTTCGTGCTCCGGAACTGCAGCATTACCAGCTCCCTGGGTCGTCGAACACTGCCTCCAGTCGTTCAACCATTCTCTACCAAATCTCCGTCCCACGCCGTCACATGCTGCTTTCGCTCTACTCCTCAGAAACGCGCCAGGCGCAACAACCCTCTCTCCTGGGTTCCGGACACCCACGGGCTCCGTGGCCAACTCAAGGTCCTTAGAGAAGACCTTGATATCTCCGTCCACGGACATCGCAGGCCACGGGATCTTCACCATGTACAGCAGCAGCGAAACCAATGGTAGAAAGCGAAAAGTTGGAGATAGAGGAAGGACTGTTTATCAATGACATCTTGTACAATAGTCATCGAATATTGTACACTTTCCACTAAGACAGTCATAGAGGCGTTATAAATCAAGGATTGAAGGCCGATTAAAATAGAGCAGACGTACGTACTGTTTGAGATCTTCAGAATGTGGAAGACTTTTCTAACCCTTACGCATTCATTTCCCCCTCCTCCTTTATAGGTCTGTCTACCATGTCATCCCTTTCTCTTCCTGCGCTGTTGTGAAGACATTTAACCAGCATCAAAATGGAGCCTGAAATTAATGCGTAACAATCAAAATTGTTACACCTCACGTCCAAATAAACGATGACAGACAAATAAATGAAAATAATGTGTTAAAAGTCACAAAAGACCGCAAAACAATGGATAACGAAGTTAAAGCAAGTGATGGAGTGTGACGACGGTTAGATATAGATCCACCTGCACCACTGAGACCGCTTCTGAACCACAACACCAAGAGCGTCCAGGTGTCACATGGCATTCAGTTAAGAGGTTTGTATTTGTAGGACTCCGATCAACAGTTGAACATTTCAGCAACTGATGCCACTTTTCAGCATTGCAATGCTCCGTTTGTGATGTGCGTTAACTTAATGCACTTTTGCGCAAAATCACTCGTTGATTTATTTGTCTGACATAAAAAAATCTCCAGTAACAATTCTGACTGCGTAGTTTCAGTAGTCAAACCTTGTTGACGTATACCAGACTGTGCATGGGTTCGCTGAATGATACTGTAGGAAACGAGAAGACGGAGACGAAGGAAAGAATGTTTGTTATGGGCATCCTGTACAGTAGTCATCAGATATTATACACCTTCCACTAAGACAGTCATTTGCACGTGCTACACTTCCTCTTCTGCTTCTGTTATGGTTTCCTCTTCATACGCCTGAGTTTCTCTTGGCAGAGTCCTTACCGATTGTTGGTAATTCCGTGATTTCTGCGCCCTCTCAACGTATACTACTTATATCCATTCTGACCGGCAGCGTCCACTACAATATTATGAGTGCAGGGCGATACCAACCTAGCTCAACTCAAATTGGTTAAAACGATTGTATGCTCTAGGATACATAAAATTCCTGAGATGTCGAAGCTCAATATTTCCAACTTTGTGTACTGCTTTTCAAGGCTGACTTCTTCCACTTCGAATCAGTCTTCCTAAAGCTTATTTAAATATTTTGATCATGTTGATTAACTTTGCTAACACCAACATCAATGTAGATGACTTGCAAGAGGCTGTACATTTTAGCACACAACTTACACAATACAGTTTCACAGATGTTATCTTCGAGGTATCTTACTAGGTGTTAAGTATATGAACTCATTTACACAAGAAAGACAGGTCGTTTTATGACTTAGGAAATTTATTCGTATTGTTAATGATCAAGAAACCACGTCCTCTGAATTAAATCGAAAATAAGTCTCTTAGGAAATGATAAAGAAAGTGATTATCACATTATGCAGTGAAATAACCATGAATCAACAAAGACCTCATCCAAAATACAATATGCGTGATAATATGAATAGCGAATGTTGAAAGTTTTGTGATGCAGAAATGAAGTAAACATCACGGAACTCAACTATTGATTTTTCTTAGAAGAAGCATTTTGTTGAGAACTGTAATTGTCAGTTGGATAAGGGGGTGGTTGGGCATGACCATTACGAGAAGCCTCCAAATAAGGTGGGGCATCATTTGGAGCACCTGGTTGTGCATATACAGCATGAGGATCTTCAGGAAAGTAGTAGCCTCCACTTACAAGATTCGTGGGACCATTAGAAGACGCAGCTTCGCCTGCTTTACCTGAAACATGAGTTAGAACTGTGAATGAACAAAAGTTTCGCTTCACTTTAATTACTGAATAGATAACAAATACCAAACATTTGATCAGTGAGCTAATTCCAGTAATATCAAATAAAATGTCCATGTGAAACCCAAGATCTGTAAATCTTGGTGGTTGTCAAAATCGATTATAAGTGCCAACACTTTTTATGACTGATTAGTTCTACCCACTAGTGAGTTTTAAGCACCGGAACACTTGCCTATTTAGCCACTTCTTGAAAGTTTTTCACTAGCCATGTTTTTTAGCCTATATTATTAGTGACACAATTTCAATTCCTTCGACATTGAGTAAATCTGCTCGCTGAAGTCATAATACACTTCATTTATCAGGGAGTGCGTTAGATTTGACAGTTATGCATTGGAGAGACGGATTTCTAAGTACACACACACAGAACTGTGTGATGAACGTTTGACAGCGATCGAATGTGATTTGTTGGATACTGAATTCGATAGATATTTATTAGGCAATAACTACTTAAGGGATAATTCAGTTTGTGCAACACTTCGGTTAACTCAAAGTTCATATCCAGAATACAGAGATTCGTGAAACAGGTGAAATAAAATTAGTAAAAGCCTCAAGAAATGATACAGCACAGTATTACGTGTTAGTAAAGATGAGAGGTATTATCACAACGTCCAGTTGCCGTGGATCGTTCATTAGTTCTCAATATTTAACCAATTAATATCGACTTGTCGTTAAAAAAGGGGTGGTAAAAAAATGAAAAATACGGAGCGGTTACAGGGTTCTGATCACAAATGTCTTCGTATCATTGCTCATGTTCGGTGGAATCTATGCGTGAGCAATGTTGAGGTCAACCGAAGGGTACTAGGCAGGATAGGCAAGTCGATTGATGAGGTTGTGAACCTTTATCAGCTGAGGTGGCTTGGACATGTGTTGCGCATACCAAGTCACTGCTTACCTCATCGTGTCATGCTAGGGAAGGCTGTGTTAGGTTGAAAGAGGGTTCAAGGTGGCCAAACCAAGATATGGCACTGGTCGATGAAGTCCCTGACTGTTGGTCTGAGCCGTATGGGGAGGATGTAGACTAACTAGCAGCTGGTTGCAGTCCCGAGACGATAGGAATAAGTGGTTAAGGAGAGTTGGTGACGGCTGAAAATCGGCCACAATGGCGCAGATGTATTTATCCCTTGGTATCTTTTAGAGCTTGAATACTCGCACTAACCGTTATCTTCAAAGTGTTTATTCTCTCACACTACTTTTGTTGTTGGAAGGCCTCAGTTTTGCATAAGACATTGTTTATTAGTCTTTCTTTCTTTCTTAAGATTGTCGCTTTCACGTCATTAGTTCAGTGGTTCATTTTCTGCCCACATTCTCTAAGTAATTAGCCTCAATTTCTGAACAAGGTCATATCTCATGTGTATGCATACATACGTGCGTTTGGGTTATTGATTATTACCATCTTTATATTGGCATTGTGGAGCTTGACATTATGTAAAATAGTGCCCTTCAAATAACATGAGTGTCACTATTGTTATGCAGTGGGAGATAAGGATGGGTTTCGGTGTCAACCAAGTTCAGCTAACAGAAAAAGAAGCTCACCTCAACATCGATCTATAACAAGATATCTTAGCATCACGGTTAGTTTTCATTTCAGTAGCCCAGTTCAGCGGAAGTTTATACCGCCTACCACAAATGGTCAACCTGCATGCCTCCAAGTGGATACAGTCTCTGATGTCACAGTGATTTCCCAGGAACTATGTGCAGCATCGGACGGCCAAAAATGTTGGGAACGATACAAGTAGCTAACAGCGCATGCAGCTGTAAGCTTCAACTGATGGGTCAATTACACTGCTGAATTTCATTTAGAAATGTTACTTTTGGTGCAGTTTGTACATTACTGATGCTAATCTCAACCTATTGGGTCTCGACTGGTTCAAGAGTTCGAAACTAGCCGACTTTCCATCGAATACGGTACACAACAAAGTGGAAGCACCGACAGCCGTCCCGAAGAACTCGAACGATATTATTACTGACTATTCAGATGTTTTCCAACCGGACCACGGTCACTACACCACGACCAAAGTCGTCCTGCGCCTAAAACCAAATGCATCACCTGTTTTTCGTCATAGAAGACCCATCTCATGTGCATCGCCACCTCTCATCGAGACGGAACCAAAATGACTTCAGGAATAGGGTGCCACTACTCCAGTATCCCAATCCTTCTTGGGCTGCCCCAATCGTCGTTATAAAGAAAGCTAATGGCTCTGTCCAACTATGAGGTGACTTTTCGTGAGGTTTAAATGCTGGCTTGGAGCAACACCATCACCGCCTGCCTGTTCCAGATGATTTATTTATCACACTAAATGGAGGAAAATATTTCGCAGAAATCGATCTGCGGACGCATACTTACAAGTCTAAGTCTCTCCAGAATGTCATGAACTCCTAACCATGAACACCCATAGAGGTCTTTTTAAGTACGATCGTCTGCCATTCGGCATTAAAACTGATCTCACTACTTTTCAACAGAGCATGGATAATTTGCTAGCAGGCATTCCAGATATTGCCACACACCTCGATGACATCATAACAGTTGCCAACTGTTCAAGGAATTAACGAACCGAATACGGTTGGTCCTATAGTAAAGCCTAGACAGCGGCCTTCGACACAGAGCGGAGAAATGTCAATTTTCCCGCAGTCAGTAAAATATTTAGGGTTCATCTTTGATGCATCTGGTCGATGTCCTGACCCTGAAAAAATTCGCACCATTCCGCAGATACCAACTTCGACAGATGTCATGACTATCCGATCATTCGTTGGTCAAGTCAGTTACTATTCGCCGTCTACTACGCAAGGATGCCCCATAGTCCTGGTCAAGAGAATGTGACACTGCTATAGAACGACTCAAGTCCACTCTCAGCTCTGACCTCCTGTTAACACATTACGACCCACATCTACCAATCGTCGTAGCCACAGATACCTCCACCGCTGGTGTTGAGACCGTCCGATTGGACAAATAACCGGATGGTTTGCAAAAAGCTGTCATGCATACATCTCGATCTCTCACTTCAGCGGAAAAACGCTACTCACAGAAAGAGAAGGAAGCACTTGCCTTAGTTTTTGTGGTCAAACGCTTTCACAAGATGTTGTATGGACGGAAATTCACCTTGTTCACCGATCACAATGCCCTCTTTTAATCTTCGGGTTAAAACGCAGTGTCGCAACTCATTTCGCCAATAGACTATAGCGGTGGGCGGATATGATTTTCATATTAAATATCACCAAACAGAAGACTTTGGACATACAGACGCACTTTCAAGGCTTATATGCGAATATCATACATTCAACGAAGATACAGTGATCCCATTATCAGTAAACGATTCTGTAGGCAGCGTGCTTCCTGTCACGTTGGCTCGGGTAGAAAATGAACCCTGCAAGGATCATATCATACAGGAAGTCATGGATCATATCCAGACGAAATGGGGGCAAACATCGTTCGCCGATGACCTGAAACAACTGTTCTGCTGAAAAGAATCCCTTTTTGTCAGCAAATGCATCATATTAAGAGAACGCGCAGTAGTCCCCCAGTCTTTTCGCGTGAAAGTTCTAACGTAGTTTCACACTAGTCATCCAGGGATAGAACGTATGAAAGTCACCACCAGAAGCTATGCTTATTGGCCCAGTATAGATCCTGATAAAGCTGAATTCGTCGGTTGCTGAGCATCATGTCAGACGGTGGCTAAGAATCTTCCACGTCTTTCACCAAAGAGTTGGCCATTGTTGAACCGACTTTGGGCTGGAATGCATATTGATTTCGCGGACTCCTTACATAGAACCTATTATCTGATTGTTGTTGATGTTTATTCCAAGTGGGTGGAGACCGTCGCAGTATCACCCGTATTATCATGCCGGACAATTGCTGCTATTACAAATATTTTCATCTGCCATGGGTTGGCCCGAGACCATTTTTCAGATAATGGGTCATAACTCACCTATCATAGGTTTTTCAAGTCTTGCGATGTGGATGCAATACATCATATACGTACACTATCGTACAATCCGCAATCCAGTGACCGGGCAGAAAGAGGGGGAGGGGATAGGGAGGTCATACAACAATTCGTACTCGTCTATTGCTCAATATCAAACGATGCCCTACCAGAACGCAAATCTCCAGCGGAGGCTTTAATGAGGAAGAAGCTAATTACCATACCCCACGCGATGTTATCAACACTTTGTGCACCGACAACGCAAACAGTCAGGTCACAACCCGACGAGGGAGACCGCGTCTGAGTACGAGATTACAGACCAGGACATGGTAAGTGAACAGAATGTGTTGTCATGAGAAGACGCGGGAGTGTGGTGTACGATATGAAGGTGGATCAGGTGAAATGAGCGAGACACAAGAATCAGCTGTATCACGGCTGAAAATCGTCCACCGTGGCGCAGATTTATTTATCCCTTGCCATCTTCTAAAGCTTGAATATTGGCACTAACCGTTATCTTCAAATTGTTTATTCTTTCACACTACTTTATCTACTTTGAGATCGTTCCTTTTCTATCCGCCTGTTCTTTGTATACTACTGTCAAGTATGGTTAATTGAGTCAACACACTTGCATGTCAGTAATACGATGACTAGAAAAAAAGTTCAGATGTAAAAAAAGCAGACATACGGACTATGGGTAGTAACGGCCAGGTGAAAGGGTTAAAAAGTAAATGTATGAGAAGTAAATTGAAAATAAAAACAGATTTACTATGATACAGGGAAGTACTTACACGCATAAGATGTTGAGTTGGAATTCGGATATGGTGCAACCCCTCCAGTTAAAGAAGTGGGATACGCTGGAGTAGACTGAGCAGTTGCACTGTAACCCCCAGTCACATTAGAAGGTGTGGCACCAGGATATGGAGGTGGTGCACTTACATGGTAAAGAGTTTCCGCTACAAAAGAGTTAATTCAGATGAGTAGTTAGTTTTTAGATAAATATAACCGAAAAATCAATTTTTTTTTCCTCTACGGAATGAATAGTCTTATGAGACAGTTCAGTTTACCTTCACGGGACATACAATCTTTTCGCCTGCATAATTATCGGTTGGCAAATGAAGGTAGCAGAGAGGACAGCTTTGTTGTAATTGCTTTAT